AGTCTTATATATAATATTAATACCTACTAAAACTTACTTATAAATATTATTTTTCTATTTATTAGGATTTTATATAGTAATTTATATTCTCTAACTATCTTATTATAGAAAATATAAGAAAGTTATTTTATATTTATATCTTCCTTATAGGGTATATAGTAAGAGAATTTAATAAGTTAATTTACTATAATTAAAATATTATTATAAAAGATTTTAATTAAGGGTTTTTTTAATAAAGGTAGCTTAATTATATAGTTTATTATAATTAAACTTTATAATCTTTTTACTACTTCTAGTAGTTATAGTAGGCTATAAGGTTTATATTATTATACTTTAGGTTTTATATATAAGTTATATTATTTAATAACCTTCTTTATTATTTTTTAATTCCTTCTTAATTATAATATATCTAAATACATTTTAAGGTCTTTATAATGCCTTAATAGCTATATAGGGGGTATTTATATATATCCTATATTAGTTCTTTTTTAAATTATTTAGGTACTTATAGTTTGTTATTATAGGTAGGCATTTTAGCTCTGCTTTTAATAGGATTTTAAATATTATATTTTATAATAATATTTTAAATTTTTTTTATTTAATCTTTATAGTTCTTAGGCTTATTATTACTTATAAATCCTAGAGTTTCTGCTTATTAAGTAAATTAATATTTTTCTTTATTATTTTTTCTTAAGAATTATTTTTTACTTTTATTATATTAGTATTATAGTCTAGTTATTAGCTAATTATATTAGCTTATTTATTATCTAAATCTTTATAATAAATAATTATAAAATTAAATTTATATAAATACTTAATATAGTATAATTATTACTAGTTAAGTTCTTATATTATAATAAAGTATAAGATATTTTAATAATTAATATAGACTTTAATTTAATATATACTTTTTATAATATAGTATTTAAACTCCTTAAAGTAGTTAATAATTACTAGGAATTCTTTATTATAAATAAGGTAATTTAATTCTGCCTTATATAGTGTATAAGAATAAAATGCAATTAGGTAAAGCTTTCCTTTTTTATTTTATTATCTAAGTTATCCTCCTAAAGTAAAATTTAAGAAGTTAATTTCTAGTTTTATTTCCTTATTAAGGTTAAATATAACTAATATAGGTTTATTAAAGATAGCTTATTATAATACTTTAAATATTACTTATATTAAGAGAGAAGTAATGCCATAGCTATATATAAAGTAATATAATAATAGTATTTTTCTTTTTAATATAAACACAATATAAGGCATTATATACTATGCCAAAAAAAAAAAAAACACAATAACCTTAATATTAAGTTAATAGATTATATAGCTGCTGCCTTAAACCTTAAGATCTAACTAAATAAGTACCCTTAATCTATAAGTATAAAGAAGATATTTCCCTTATTAATAATAAACTAAATTCTCTCTCTATTATTAACCTCTTAATGTAATTATTACTATTATAATAACTATAAAGCTCTATAAGAAAATAAGCCTAAAACTATAACTCTTATTATTTAAGATATGCTGCTATATAATTATTATTAATAATAGTTAACCTGGCTATAATTATCTAGTTAAGGTAGTTAATAGATATATAACTGCTTAATTAACTAATATTAATAATATCTACATTATAAGGATTTAAAGCTTATATTCTAACCTTTACTATTGCAAAATTATAAGTAAATACCTGCCTTATATTAATAAATTATAATTAATATAATAAGTTAATCTTACTATCTTTAGTTACTAAGTACTAATTAAAGGTATTATACAAAATAGTTACCTTATTAAATTTATTAAATGCTAAAGGAAGGCATTAAAAGGCCTAGCTAATTAGTTAAAAAAGGGCATAAATATATTATTATAGCAGCAGGCCTTTATTAATAGTATTATATTAGCCGGCAGTAATACTATATACTTAGTATAGTTTAAAGAGTTAAAAAGCGAGATCTGGTTAGTTGAATTAAGAGTGTAAATATTTTATTATAAGAAATAAGGGTAATTGCAGGGTAAAGGAGGGGAAGTGAGGGAGAAAAGAGGGAGAAGAAATTAAATTAAGAAATAAAGGTTTTAGCATTTAGAAAAAAAACTATAAAGGCTAGTTAGTAGACTAAGACTGGCTTGGCCGGTTAGTAATAAATTGGATTAGGTTATAAGATAAAGTAGTAATAATAAATATAGTAAAATAATACTTAAGAAATATTACTTATATATCTTATTTTTATATAAATTTCCTATCTTTTTTTATAAGTTTTATAAAGGGGTTTATAATTTTATTAAAGTTTTTAATAAATCTTTAATAGTAATTAATAAATCCTAAAAAGCTTTAAACTTCTTTAACTATTATTAATAAAGGCTAGTTTATTATTACTAAGATTTTCTTTTATTTTATTTTAATTTTACTAAGTATAATAATATATTTTAAGAAGTTTATTTCTTTTATATAAAAATAACTTTTTTATAATTTAATTAATAAGTTAATATCTTATAAGGCTTTTAAAACCTTATAAATATATTCCTTATATTTTTTATTTTATTTAAAAAGATTAAGATATTATTTAAGTAATATATTATAAAGATATTTAAGTATTATTAAAGTATATTATTAATTATTTACTAAAATATTATAAGTATATTAATAAGTCTAAATAGTATTATTAAGTACTTAAAGAGTTTAAACTTAGTTTTAAATACAGTTTTCTATTTATCTCTTTCTTTAATATAAATTAAATTATAAGCTCCTTTAAGGTCTAAAGTAATAAAGATTTAGTTACCTTATAGGCATTCTTTAAGTTCTATAATAAGTAAAAGTAAGGTCTTATCCTTAATTATAAAGGCATTTAATCTCTTATAATTTATAATAATTTATAATTTCTTATTCTTTTTTAAGATAAATATTACTAGGAATTTTATTAATAAGTTAGATATTTTAATATTTTCTTTTATTAATTTTATATTTAAGTAATTTCTTAAGGTAATAAGTTCTTTTTTATTAAAATTATAAATCTTTTAAAATAATAAGTTATTTATTTTAAGTTATATTTTATAATTTTAATAACTATATTATAATACCTTTATTTTAAGTTCTTCTTTAAATAGCCTTTTATAAATATAATACTTTTTTAAGATGTTTTTAAGTTAATCTTATTATTTTTTAAATTATTTTTAATATTTTAGTTATTTATTTAAGTTATATAGTTAGTATTTAATAAGGCCTAGGGCTTATTAAATTTATTATTTCTTGCCTTTTATATACTTATATTATACTCTTTTTAGAGGTAGTAAATTCTTTATTTTATATATATCTATATTATTATCTTTAGTTAAGGTTTAAGATCTCTTATTATTTATTATAATTATTTTATTATTAATATTTAAGTTATTATAAAGAATAACTTAGCTAGTTAGCTAGTTAATATATAGGTTTACTTATTTAAGTTATAGTATACTAAGGATAATATTTATATCTAGTAATAGGGAAATAATATCTAAGTCTATTCCTTAATTTTTCCCCTAAATAAAGACCTTAAGGTAATTAATTTCTTAATTTACTATTTTATTATTATAATTAAAAGGTTATCTCTCTGCATTAATAACTAAGTATAAGACTTACTTTTTTCTTTATAATAATCTAAGCTTTATAACTAGGTTTAGGTTAATAAAGTTATATTTAGCTTTATAATTAATTTAAGTATTTAGCTATCTCCCCTTAATTTAAACTTTTAATATTAGGCTATTAGGCTTGCTATCTTATATAGCTCTTAAAGTACTTATTAATTTAAGTTATTTTTATTTTTATGCTTTATATATTTATAGCTTTATTATAAATAGTATTTCTTATTTTCTAATATATTTTAGTAAATTTATTTATAATTACTATTATAGTATCCTTTTTTATTAATATAATTATTTTTAAATTCTTTATTATATAATAGTTACTAAAGGTATTTTTTTAATTTTATATCTTACTTATTTAGTATAATTCCTTATTTAAGTTATTTATTATTAATTATATTTTTTATAATTATAATCTTATTAAGTTATTAGAGATTTATAAGGTTATTATATAGGTAAAGTCTATTAGCTTCTTACTAATATATTAGCTCTTTAGTAGTTTCTAAACTTATATTATTAATTAATAGTTTTTTTATTAGGTAGTTATACTATCTATTATTAATTTATTCTTAATATTCTTTTTCTTATTCTTAATGTTTTTTTTTATTTTATTAACTTTTACTTAATTAAATATTTCCTTAAGGTTAATTAAGGTAAGAATCCTTTTTTAAGTTATATTATTATTATTTAACTTAGTTTCTTTTATTAATTTCCTTAAGTAATTAAACTTTCCTTTAATAATTACTTAGAATTCCTTTTTAATATCTTTAATAAGTTTTTATAATTATTAAATCCCTTTATAAAGTTAGTTTACTTTATAAATCTATTAATAATAGGCTATATTAAATTATAGTTTTGCTATTCTTAAGTTTTTATATTATATATATATTAAGTACCTTTTTATTTCCTTTATTAGGTAGGGTTTATTATTAAGTATATTAAAGATAGTTATTAAAAAGTAATTATTATTAAGCTTTTTTTATTTATATATTTTATATTAATAGTATTTATAAAATAGCTATAAGATTTCCTTATATTATTTATTTATTAAAAATATTTAAATATTATCTTATTTATTAAATTATTCTTTTTTATATAATAGGTTTATAGTATTATTAATATAATATATTTTAACCCCTGTTTATATTAATAGTGCACTGATGTTATAGCTGATTTGCTTATTTAGTTACGTGATCTGTCTTATAACTTATTTAATCCTCTTTTCGCCGCCAACGCCAAATTCACGACTTTAAGTCTTTAACTTCAGGCAACTAAACTCACATAAAACTCAATATATTTTTCCTCTACAGAACCCCGCGATTACCCCGCTTCTATCCTTACAGGTTCTCGGTCTTCTCTAGTACCTCCTTGGCCTGCCACCGGATATCCTTAAGCCACTCGTTATGTAAGCCGCCCAGGTTAAGGGCCCTAAGGAACCCCCTCTCCCTCCTGCTTGGCTATATCCCTCTATATAGCTTCCTTTCTAAATCCTTAAGCTTCTGCTTCTTGCATTTAAGGAAGTCTTTATTAATTAGAGGGTTCTTATAGATAGATTATATAAGCAGGAGGATCTTATAACTAAAGATCGCTATCTTAATGCGGCTGGTATTATCCTTATTAAACCAGGCCTCTCTAATATCTATGGCCATTATATACAGTATATCGCCCTTGCCCTTATTTTGCCTAAGAGCTTCTTCGATCTTAGGGATTATATTATGGCCTTTAGTTAGATAAGGCTTGTCGGGCCTGGGTGCCTGCAGGCTTCTTCGGATAGCAGGCATTGTGATGGGGCAGCTGTGATGCTGTTAGCGGTTGCGGCCAGAAGTCGGGTCGGGTCGGATGACTTACTGCGGAAGCGTGATGGATGATTGAAGCGTGGTATCCTTTTAGGTGGGTTGTAGGAAGAAGGTTGGGGCCAGCTAATGAGCAGGGCTTTTTAGCTGGCATATATGCAGCTAGGTTTAGGCTGCAATTGAGGCAGCTAACTATAATGATTTGACTTAATGAAGCTTTGCCGGCTATAGGGGCAATAAATGTTTAAACTATATTAGACTCTGGAGATGCTTAGATATACCTTTTGAGGCTAACTTGCAAACTTAAAAAAAAAAAAAAAAAAATAATATATTTTAATACTTAAGAGTTTAATTATATTAATATTTCTATATTCTTTAGCTCCTTATATATACTTATTTTCTAGTAATATTTATATCTTATTTCCTACTTTATTAAATAATAGCTTATAGGGTTATTTTTATTTTTACTTATGGCATTTATTTTCCTTATAGAGGTATTATATAATTACTTATATTACTCCTCCTTTATATCTTATATTTTAAGAGTATTAATAATAATAATTATAAATTCTAGCTCTTGCCTTTTATTTCTTATTAAAGGCTATTTCCTTTTTTTAAAGCTTATTTATTATTATAGTTTTAATAGGGATATTATTTATTTTATTAGTTAACTTACCTTTTTTATTTATATTAGGGATAATTACTATTCCCTATTATATTATTTTTAAGACTTTTAGTTATTATTATTTATTACCTTTTTTATTATCCTTCTTTTACTATTATCTCTTTCTTTATTTTTATTAAAAGTATTTTTTTTATTTTAAATCCTTTATCTTTTTATAATAGTAATTATTATTAATTTTATTTTTATAAAGTCTTTATTATTTTTATTTTTCTTTTAAGAGTAGTTTTCCTTTTTTCCTTTTTATACTTTTTAATAGTAATTTTATAAAAGTTAACTTATAATATAAAACTATATTATACCTACTTTAGGTTATTACTAAGGCTTAAGTTAGTTTAAGAAGTTACTTACCTTAGTTTTATTATTAAGGTTTCTGCAGTTTAAGGCACTATTATATTATATATTTAAATTAGTTATAGTTATAGTATTTATATTAAGATATATCTTATTTTCCCTTATTGCCTTATTATATAGCTTTAAGTGCTATAGGTCTTGTTTAGGTTTTATATAAGGTATTATTTTAGTAATTACCTTATTATTAGCCTTAATTTTAAGAGTTACTTTAATTATTAGTATTATATTACTAGTTAAGGTAATATAAGTTAAAGTTATTACTTTATTTATAATTAGCTCTTTTTCTTTTATATTTATATTATTATTTATTAATTTTAATTATTATAATAATATATATAATTAAACCTTTTTTAGGTTTATTAGCTAAGTATAGTTTATCTTTAACTTCTTTTTTTAATCCTTTATAATAAATTTTTATTAAGGCTTTATTATCTTATTTAGTCTTAAATATAAGCTATTAGAACTTGGCAAAATAGGCAGTATATAACTTAGTTTACTTAAGTATAAGTAACTTTATTATAGCTTATTACTTTTTATTAATTACTTTAAAGTTATCTTTAAGGGCTTATTTAAAATTTCTTTAATTTTTAAAGATATTTAAGGTATTTTAGTTTTATTATTTTTTTTTATTTTTAAAGAAGTCTCTTAAGATAGGTTTAAGCTAATTCTTTATATTTCCTTAAATTAGGCTTATAATATATAAGAGTTTTTTTATAAGGGTATTTAGCTTATTTTTATAAAGGCAGAAGTAAGCCTTTATTTAAGTTAAGAATAGGATTATATTAATACCTTAGCCTCTAAAAGGTTTTAGCTTAAAAGGCTTAAGTGCTTTACCTAAGTTTTACTTATTATTACTTTTATTAATAGTTATAATAGGATATATATTTACCTAAGCTTATAAAATATAAATAGTATTATAAAGTTATTAAACTTTAGCTATTATCTTAATAGTATTAGGTAGTGCTTTAATATAAAGAAGTGCTAGATTAGTATTATTAAATATCTTAATAATATAATATTACTTAGTTATTAATATAATATATTTTAAATAAAAGCTATTAATATATAATAAAATAGGTTTTAAATAGGTAAACTAGTTTATATTAGGTTTTATATTTATAGAGTTATAAGGCATTATATTAAGTAATTATAAAGTATTATATCTTTTAATAGTAAATAAAGCAGGTTAGGCATATTTAGGTAAAGAAGTCTTATTAATAGCTAGTAAGCTAAGTTTTATAAAAGTGTTAATAAATATAATTTATATATTAAAGGTATCTTTAGGTAGTTAGTAAGGCTATTAAGGGATTAGTAGTAATTTAAGTAAATTAGTATTAATTATAATAAATTAGCTTTAATTATAAAGTCTTAATACTAATTGTCTTTAATAGGGATTGTAATAATTAGTAAAAAATATAAGGTATATATAATAAAAATACTAAGGTTATAACAAGTTAAGGATAAACTATACCTAGCTAATAGACTTAAAGAAGGTCTAATTATATATATTACTATAATAATTAAAATTAATAAATAATAATATAAATATAAAAAAGAGAAAGTAAATTATAAATAAGGTAATAACTTTAACTTATATTACCTTAACTAATAATATAATAATAATAACTAAAGTAACTCTTAAAACTAAGGCTAATAATAAGGTAATTACTAAAATAATACCTTATATAAAACCTAAGTAAGACCTATAGTACTTAAAGCTATATAATAAGGGAATAAAGGATAATAAGATATATTATAATATAAATACTATAATTATAACTAATTTAAATATATAGTTTAATAATGCCTTAAATTATAAAAACCTTAATAATAAAACTAAGATAAGTAACCTCTTAGATTAACTTAAATATTAAGAATAACCTAAAGTAAATATAATATAATTCTATATTATAAGTTAACTTTTATAAAACTGCTACTTAAGATAATAAGAAGGAAAAGAAATAAACTACTTATAAATAAAGAGGAAGAATAGTAAAGTCTTTATAGAAATAAAATTAATAATAATTACTATTATTAAAAGATATAAAATCTAAAATAAAAAGAATATTTCTAATAGAGGTAATAAGAGAGATGCTAGAAATAAATAAAAAACTAAAAAAAAAAAGATAAACTTAAAAAACTATAAGTCTTAAAAATAATAAAATAGGAAAAAGTAATTACCCCTAATATAAAGGAATAAGCTTAGGTATTTAAATAGTTAGATAATATCTTTATTAAGGTAATTACCTAAAAAGATAAAATAACCCTTATAGTAAATACTAAAAAAGGATATATTACTAAGTATAAAATGCCTAAATTTGCTAAAACCGAAACCTAAGAGAAAGATAAACCTATAACCTCTAAATAAACTAATATTATTATAGCCAAATTATCTAAAGTAATAGATAATATCCCTTTTAGAATAACCCTATAAGTAATAAAGAAAGCGGTTAGAAAAGAGTAAAGGGCTAGAGATAAGATTTATACTTACTACTATTGCCATGCCTGGAATATAAGATATAGGGAAGGAGCAGCCTAAAATACTATATAATATCTCTATAAAGAAGATAAATAAATTAAAAATAAGTAGATATAGCCTTATAACTTACTATTTAATAAATAAGGTAATAAAATATATACCTTACTAAAAGATAGGTATATATAAGGAGCTAGGGAATATAGAAATACTAATAAAATTAAAATATTAAATATTAAAGCCTATTATATAATAAATACTATAAATCCTTATTAAAAAGAACTAAAGTTTAATATTAAGGATAATATAAAGATATTTCTAACTTATTTAAAATATAAAAAACTATTTTAGTTATTATATAAATACTATTAATATAAGATATATAAGCAAGATAAAGAAGATAATAACTATTTCTTAATTATAATCCCTAGTATGCCTTATAATAAACCCTACTTAAGGATAAAAACAGAAAGATACTTAATATACCTTTAATATAAATACCTTAAAGTAGTAGAATTATAGTTTAATATGCCTTATTATTAATAAATTTATAAAATAAAAAAGCTTTATAAAGGGATTTAATAATCTTAATAAATAATTAAAGAAGCTAAAGAAGAATTTAATAAGATTACTTAAGGAAAATATACCTACTTAAAGACAGAAGCTAATTAAGAAGACTAGCTAAAGGAGATTATAAAATAATACTAAAAATAAGAAAAAAAGTATTAGAAATAAATTAATAATAAATAATATAATTACCTAATAGGAAACCTATTAAATAATAATACTAATTTAGATATAACTAAAGAATTATAATATTAGTAAGAAGTTAATAAACTTTACTTATATAGTAACCTTATAAATCTCTAATAACTTAATAAGATTATAATTACTAAAGATATAAGTAATAATAAATACTTTAAATAAGGAATTATACTAAATAAATAAGATATAAAATTAGAAAAATATCTTTAATAGTTATTATATAATAGGGAATTCAAGAATAACTATATTAATAAAAAAGAATACTATAATAATAACTATAAATAAATATATTAAGATATATTAGGAAAAGAGAAATACTATTTATAATAAAGTTATAGATATATAAAGTATAAGGATAAAAATAACTTAAACTAATAAGTGCTTTAGGAGTTATATAAGATAATAAGCCTAATAGCTTAATACTAAAAGTTTAAATTAAGGGGAGATAGCTAAATACTTAAATTAATTATAAAGCTAAATATAACTTTATTAACCTAGATTTAGTTATAAAGCTTAAATTACTATAAAGAAAAAAGTAAGTCCTATACCTAGTTATTAATATAAAAGGATAACCTTTTAACTATAATAATAGTATAATAAATTAAGAGATTAATTACCTTAAGGTCCTTATTTAGGAAAGAAATTAAGAAATAAACCTAGATATTATTCCCTTACTACTAGATATAAACATTATCCTTAATATACTATAGCTTAAATAAATAAACCTATATATTAACTAGCCAACTAGCTAAGTTACTCTTTATAGTAGCTTAAATAATAATAATAAAATAATTATAATAAATAATAAGAAATCTTAAACCCTAACTAAAGATAATAGTATAGGTAT